GTAGAGAATTTTTTTTTGGGGGGGGGGGGTACACGTTACATGCTCGAAGCTGAAACTGATTAAGTACGTCTCGACTGAGGAAAAAGACGATATACTGGAAGAACTTGATTTGTAAAATCTAGTTAAAGCATTTGTAGTCTTGTAGATATGGTTCCAAGAAAAACAGATTTAGTTTAGATTTTTAACTGAAAAAAATACATGTATGCATTGTCATAGCTTGAATATTTCTTCTCAGACTTATTCTGTATCGTATAAAAAAGCAACGCAATTTTGAGAATGGGGAAATGGTGTCTCATAGAACCTAGAATTATTTAAATGCAACATTTCTGATCAAAATCACATTGGGATTTTCTCCCCCCAGCATCACAGAGGGGAAATAAGGTGACACTGACCCTCCTCCTGTTTTTCAAGGTGACTTTTCCAATTTATTTAATTCCGAGTAGAAATGTCTGGGGAAATTTATGTCTTCGATGTACTTTATAATCTTCGGAATTCTGCAAGATTTCACCACAAAAATGCTTGAAATTTCAGGGACTCTAGATTTCAAAATTCAAAATTTTCCCGGGGTGTATGCACCCGGACCCCCTAGACGGTATTGTGCCTTTGGCGTGAGCTTCGCCTCCCAAAACTGAAGGTCTGGCTACGCCACTGAATGTTTGTTGTAAAGTTTTGAAATTGTTCCGAGTTCCGACAACTTACGATGATTCAATAGGAGGCGACTTCATTGGCTTGTTCACTTAACGAGCCAATTACAACTTACTAAACTTGATCATCGGAAAGAACTTCAAAACAAACTTCGGAACTTTGCAACAAACATTCCGAACATACAAAATAACATTGGAAGTCAGATTTCAAAAATAAATTGCAGTGTGCGAATTAACGGTGTGCAATGTGCAATTTGCACATCGTTTTGGCCAAAATGGAGAAAATTGCACATCACTTTTTCAAACGATGTGCAAAAAAAAATTGATAAACGTTTCATGTTTACAAAGTAATGCCAATTGATCCGCTTTTATAAAGTGCTTTTTCAGCAACGTATTAACGCATCTGAAATATGAGACGTGTTCAACACAGCAAAGATTAAGTAACACTAGCAGCGCCTTTTTAGAGGTGAGAGAAACATGTGCAGAATGTAAATGTTCTGCATCATTAACTAGCATTCTTTTTAAGCCAATTACAATACAGTTTTCATCAAAATCTTTATCTGATTGGCTCGTTGTAATTCGTAGTAGCGCATAGCAACCCAACCGCGTCTGCTACCACGGAAATTAGAGACGGAAATGCGGTATATTTGATAACTAACTTGCTTTGTTGAGCTTTAAATATCACTCCTTTCTGCGCAAAGTTAGCTAGCTATATTTTCCTCAACAACAAATATACAGCCAACAGCTTTATCCAGTTCTTACCAGTCATTTAGTATTTTACTTATATTTGTGAATTGAGATCGAGAGATTTATTAGCGTTTTTACTGCGAACGTTTATAAAAGCATATGGAAATGCAAACAAGAACAGCCTGCAAACAAGGATATTCTGTGTTTCGCGTTTGTTTTGCCCTTCTTGCCATCATGGCAAGTACCAAAAGTCGCCAAAGAAGCTCAGAGAACTGAAAAAACTTGCTGAAGCGTATGGAGAAACTGTGTATAAGTCTGTCAAGGCAAGCGGCGCGAGGTGGATAGATCACAAAGTGCGCGCCACCAAAGTTTTCCTGGAGAACTATGGCATGTATATGCAGCATCTTTAGCAGGTAAGAATGGCGAATTTTACTCTCTTCACCAGCTAGCTGGTAAAGAGCAGTTTTCAAACATTCTGAACATTGTGGAACTGCTACTATTGTTCCCAGTAAACTGCGAAACGACCGTTTTTTACGCAGGACATATTTGTGTATCTCGTGATCACAATTTGTTGCAAGCGACGTGTGAAAAACTGCAAGTTTCAGCTTGACAGTTCTGACAGTTACAGTTGATTTCATATAACTTTTCCGCGAATGTTGCGAACTTCGTTCCGAACTTCGTTGTGAAGTTCAAAAGTTCATGACATTCACAAGCCCGTATGTAAACAAAGCCTCTAATTGGCTCATTTTTGTTAAGGGACCAATCAGAGGCTTTGTTTACATACGGGCTTGTGAATTTCAGTATGAACTTTTGAACTTCACAACGAAGTTCGGAACGAAGTTCGCAACATTCGCGGAAAAGTTATATGAAATCAACTGTAAATGAGTTTTTAATTTTATTGTCCAATCAGATGCGTAGTTTTGAATTTTAAATCAAAACTACGCACCTGATTGGACAATAAAATTAGAAACCATTAACTGTCAGAACTGTCAAACTGAAACTTGCAGTTTTTCACACGCCGCTTGCAACGAATTGTGATCACGAGGTACACAAATATGTCCTTCGTAATTGACAAAACTGTCACTGACAAACCGCCTAAAAAACGGTCGTTTCGCAGTTTACTGGGAACAATACTATTGATTACACCCATCTCGAATGCTGTGGTTGAACGGATGTTCTCCACAATGGCGAGAATGAAACCACACCTACGCAACAGAATGTCACGAGATAGATTGGACAGTCTTTTGAGAATTAGTGAGGAGGGACCTTCAGTGAAGGATTATGATCCAACTCCTGCAATTGAGCGGTGGTATGGACAAAAGAAACGAAGGATCAGATTCGGAGGCCACGCTTATCCGGAGAAACGCAAGAAGAAATTCGAAACGTCGGACGCATCACGCCGACATGCCTATTTTTTGGATCAAGAGTCGTCAGAAAGTGATCAGCTTATGGAATTTAACATTTTAACTTGTTTATATGTATATATATTAAATGCACGTATTAGAAATATTAGATTACTGCACCATAATAGTTGGCTTAAATTAATTGAGTATTTGATTGAATGTGACTCTTGAGTTGCTAGATGTAACATATTTAATCTGAACCAATTTTATGACTCTGGAGGTACATTTTTCTCGAGAAAAAATTGCACATCGTTTTTTCTCAACTAATTCGCACACTGTAAATTGAAATCAAGAGTAACTCAAGTTACATTGAATCCCAGTATTCCAGCAAGATACTGAAGTTTTAAATTTCATACCCTCCTAAACATCCCAAAGAACGTTCATTAACACGACTGACATCATATATTCTGTTGTCGTCAACAACGTCAGGTATATCTTTGAGAAGTGAGTGAACGATTGGCTCTAGACCAATATTTCTTAAAAGCAAAGAACGATCTTCTTTAGTCTCAGAAAGAGACCACAGACAAGAGAGACAACGTATTTCCAGTTCAGTCTGCTTATCATTCAAGTGTCTTGCCAGAGTCGAGTCCACACTAAAGTAACAAAAATATATGGTTTTCTTGGAGGATAAAAATAAAAGCAAATATTTTAAGAACCCTCCTAAACAAACCATTAGAAAAGTGATGGGGGGGAGTATTTTTTTTAAAATTGATTGCTTGTGTCGATAATTTTTTTTAAGATAAACCCTTTAGATAAACCACAATTTTTTTTTATTTCAACTTTTGCTCACCCCCAATCACTTTTCTAATGGTTCACCCCTTAGTTGACGGCAAACTTTTCATGCGCCGAATCTAATGCAAGAATTAAGTGCGACGCTGGGGCAGAGTTTAAATCAATTAAGTTTTGATTAAGTTCGACACGACTCAAAAATGCGACAAGACAAGTCGTATATGCGACACAAGTTCGACATTGATTTAGACACCGTGCTTTTCATGCGCCGAACCTAATGTCCTCACAATTTGGTACGGCACAATTAAGTTCGACGTCTAAATCAGTTTCCAATATTTTGCCGTATCTACGGCAATTAGATTCCATGCATGAAAAGTTCGCTGTCTAAACCAGGCCTGGCTCTGGGTACGAGATTGGGCCTTACATACCATATTGGCAATGGATACCGCTTTTTAGAGGCAAAGTTATAGATTGTAGCCAACAGATCCAATCCACCTTCTTGCACAAAATAATGTTTGTTTGCACTTGTTGACTTGGATCTCCATGGTGAAAACATTTCCCCCTTACGTATTAAATCTTCTAACACAGCTGTATAACAATTAGCAGCTGCTGATAAACTATCAGCATTCCAGTCAATATTTTCCATTATTCGATCCCCGTCTGAAAATGCTTCGCAAACATCTTTTACAAACGCTCTCATATCATCAAGAAATTTCGATAACAAATGTATAAACTTGCACACGCTTATAAATTTAACAATAAACGTGTCGCCTTCTTGCACATACAAATTTGATATTTTCTCTCTGTTTTCTAATTCCCGTCGTGTCTTGTGGTAAACAGACATATCACATGCCGCAACGCTGAGTAAGGGTTGTAGCTTCTTCTTTAAATCGCCGATACATTCGATGTTGTTTAAATTTATTTTTAAATCTGATGTTTGATATGGCACTGGACATTCACTTTCGATATGAATTTTAACCTCCATGTTTGAAACTCTTCGATATAACGCAGTGTAATATTATAGCTCAGTGGATATAACGTATGGCAGTGGTTTCTGAATATAACGGAAGAGAGCAAGCGACTGGGGACGAGGCAGGTCAATAACTATGTTTTAACTCCATTTTCCTACAGTTTATAATTCCAGTTTTTTTCTAACGGACCGTATACGCTAATCAAGTTTTCAGTTCATAAAACTATGGTATTTATATTCTTTGAATCAATGCAAAGTCAAAACACGATTTTCAGATTTTCAGTGCAAAAAGATGCGGGTATGCGGGTACCACCGTACCACCCGTGAGGAAGGTACGGAGGTACCATATGCGAGGCGTTTCTGCAGGGCCTTTTTTAACATACAAGCTGGGGGGGCCATTCCCCCCTTGTGCCCCCCCCCACGAAATCACATTTTGTCCCCCCAGAAAAAGTCCCTTTTTCCTAAATTTATACAAACAAACCAGCGAAGAATAACAAATACGCAAACAGAAAGTAAGTTTTAGGCTTTATCTTTTGTTTTTTGGGCGTTTTTCCTTCTTTTATTTCAATTACAATTTACAAGTATAGCTAGCGTAAATTTTAGAGCAAATTTGGATGCTCAGAATGCAGGAAATGGCATTTCCGGGCTTAAAATAGGCTTCAAATGTCAAAAATTTTCTGCGTCAGTGGTATGCCCCCACACACATAGCCTTCGGCCATTGCTATCCCCTTCTAATAAGTAATGATAAATTATGGTTAATATTTTTTTAAACCTTTTGTTCGTTTTTCTACTTCTTTTATTTTAAATACAAGTATACGATTAGCATAAATTTTAGAGCAAATTTGGACGCTCGAAATGCAGGAAATTGCATTTCCGGGCTTCAAATTTCAAAAATTTTCTGGGGGAGTATGCCCCCAGACCCCCATTCATGCATGGTATGTCGGCCACACACATGGCCTTCCGCCATTGCTATACCCCTAATTAATATATTATCTCACAGAAAGGTCCCTTTTCAAGAAATGCCCTGCTTGCGTCCTTCCTCCGCCCCGCCCCCAAATCACCTAGTTCCAGTCTTTTCATGTGAAAAAGCGCTGAATATTAAAAATATATAAATAAAAATAGAAGGCCTAGGTCTAGGCTGGGCCGTTGAGAAAGATCGTGACTCTATAGTCGTGTTTACACTACCAGCCTTTTCCTACATTTTGACAGTGTAAACAGACTTTGGCCTGACCTCAGTGGCTCAGTAGGCCAGGAAATCTGGGGAGCCTCGCAGTGCCTCGGAAGGTCGTCTCCAATTGGATGGGGGTTTTCTAAAGAACGAAGCAATTCATTGTTATAAACACAAAAGCAATTGTCAAATCGAGCCAATGAAAATCACTCTTCCGAGCTACTGCGAGGCTACCCGGAAATCTGGTCTCACTACAACCGGTGGCCGGCTAGGCTTGTGGAATGTAAACACTTTCGGCCCTGGCCTGGGCCTTATTTTCATGGCAATGTGTGCCCACAGTGAGAGATTAGTGGCCAACCAGTGGACAACGTCACAGCACATAAAAATACACAAAATTAATTACACAATTCTAGGCCAAAGCGAGCCTCAGTTCCAAAAAAACAGTGCATGCAATTGTGTAAACGCGCCACATTTCGGGCCTTGGTCTGGCCAAAGCTTTGCCAAGGCCTGCAAGCCAAGGCTTGTAGTGTCAACACGACTTATTTTTACGACCATTACGATATAAATTTGTATGACTATTATGATGACCATATGGAACCAGGCTTAATCCAACTTTGACATGTTATCGTGCGGTTAATCAATACGTCAATAGTTTTCTTTTTCGTATTTAGAAAGATCAGGCTTTTAGCTGCAAATTGCAAAAATGACCAACATGAGCTCCACCTTTGAATTTACTGAAACACGTCCAAATTTATCATTATGATAAATTCGCGGCATATTTTGAATTTATCAATGGAGTTAATCATAAAACCACAAAAATTAGACAAGACTTTTTCAGTTATAAATGTAATGGCACTAAAAGGGTGGCCGGTTTTAAAGTTTTAAAAGAGTTTAAAAAGTTTAAAAAGTTAGATTTTCAAAAAAGTTAAAATAGTAAATTCAAAGGTGGAATTCATGCTAAAAATGACACCTTCACACCTTTATGGAATGTTTGTGATAAAAGATGACCAAATATCCAAATGCGACCATAGTTAATAGAATATAGATGGTTTGGAACTCATTAGAATAACAATACAACTCATTATCTATGTTGGTCAACGTTTATTCATAAATCTGGTCGTTCACCGTTATATTGTATTTTTGCCCAACTAACCAATAGCAATGTTTTAGGAAAGTTGCCTATCCGTGACTCGAACAATAGGGTAAATTGGAAATTGCTATTGGTGGATTTGGCAAAAATGCAATACGCACGTGACGGTGAACAACCACTCGACCAGATTTATGAATAAACGTTGACTTAAGGCTAGTTACCACTCAGGAAAATTATCCGTGGATTGGAACGGACAAGAAAATTTTTCTTTGTGTTAAAGTCATCAGTTCCAACCCAGAGCCGCAAGACAAAGAAAAATTTTCTTGTCCGTTCCAATCCACGGATAATTTTCCTGAGTGGTAACTAGGCTTAACCATAGATGAGTTATGTTGTTATCTAACATAGATGAATAAGAAACGTCATATGTTCGTTTGGGGGTGGGGGGTTGCAGCTGTGACGTTTCTCTGTAAAACATGGAAAAATTCGATAGTTTTTTCGAAAGCCTTAACATTTCGGAATCATCTTTGCAGAATATAAAAAACAAAAAAACTTGATATACAAACACCAGTGTATACGTTCGTAATACCATATCTGTTCTATACAACACTCAAATTTCAAGAAAAACGCGCTATTAAAATTCTCAATATTTCATGCAAAAAAAAAAGAAATTTGAAGAAACGTTGGAAATTTTGAAGTTCATATATATTAATAAAAAACATATGTCAGCAGAAGATGACATATTCCTCGCGGAACCACCGCGCCAATAGCCGACCGGTTAAAATAGTAGAAAATTACCTTATTGTGTACTATAAGAACAAAATATCGATAACTATGTGTGACGTTTCTAAGGGGGTGGGGTTCTCCAGAGAAACGTCCATATGACGTTTCTCATGGACAAAATCGATATGTGAGGCTTCCCTAAGAAAGGTAGCGGTCGACAGCTAAAAGCCTGATTTTCAATTGGTATGAAAAAAGTAAATGTATAAACGTTATATAATGCACGATAAGCGTGTACTGTTGTATGTGTATGGGAGTAGGAAATTTCGGCTCACTCCTTCGGCAGATTTGAACTCGAATTCTCAAACTCATTAATAATTCATATAGGAAATTCAAAAGAAATGCATATTAATTCTGTATTTAGAAATAAGAGGAAGATTACAGCCGTTTTTCGTCAACTTTAAACTCGACTTTCTCTTAAAGTATTGATTCGTTTGAACAGCTATATCCAACACGAGTAAGTGTTCTTCCTCTGATTTCTAAATACAGACAAGCTGATTAAAAAGACTCGGCTTCGCCTCGTATTTTCAAACTGCTTTTCTGTATTTAGCAATCAGAAGAACACCACTTACTCGTGTTGGATATAGTACTTCTCGCTCCAGATATATATGGAGTTCACTGGGTCTGGGTTCACTAGTTGGGTTCTGCCATCGGGTTCTGCCCATAGAAATAAGAGATATCTATTATTTCTATGGTTCTGCCTCCTCCACGGGCCCTGCTGCACCATTGGAAAGTCACACACTGGCCTTCCCATGGAAGAAACCTGGAAAATTCCATAAAATTCCCTTTCACTCTGGATACTTTTTTCACTTCAATACATATTTCACCTACAATACATAGCTAAGAATTTTGAGCTCAATCAAACAACATGTTGTTTTTGGTTTTTTTTTTGTTTTTTTTTAATAACTTGACAATCAATAAGATCGAAGGTCAGGACAACGGAACAGAAGTTCCCAATTAAGTCCCACCAAGACAACACAAATACAGACGTACATAAAAAACTATTTACAACAGTAATTAACCCTAATTCTAACTGAAAAATAAATCCGTTGTTCAGACACCGAGAAAGTCCCTGAAACATTACAAAGTTAACATTTCGTACACAGAAATTCAATATTAGCCATTACATTAGAGGGTCTTGAGGGGGGGAGGGAGGTCTGGCTCCCATTTCTCTGCCCAAATTTTCTCTATATCCATTTCCCAGCCCTTTTCTCAGATCAAATCGCAGTTCCACTGTGAAAATTGAAAGAAAATCCCAGAGCAGGTGGTTCATCTATGTGATGACTTTTAAACACAATTATGTGTTCAGTTGCCCTCTTTAGAACTAGTTTTGCCGAGAAAAAGGTGAATGCCTGATTTACAAGAGCAGAAAAATGACCTCATTGAGCTATAAGTCGGTTAAATTCAGTTTGCCTGGACTCTCTTAGACAAATTCTCCATCAAAAATTGCTCTGTAGCTGTTCAATCTGAAATGTCCAACTACAACGTAACTGCCTTTATATAATGGTATTTGGGTTTTCCCATTTTTGTGTCTTTCATTCCCAGTAACCCAAATTCCATTTTCCCAGTCCAAAAATACGCAAATTCCAGTTACTATTTACCCCTTCTCTCACATTAATTAATTAAGCGTGTTCAAAAACAAAAGAATATTACATGCCCTTATCTCTGTGGGAAGACTGAGTGCGAGTCTCAATCCGGAGGGCATGCTCCCCCAGAAAACATTTGTGGGTCTGGAGGTATGCTCCCCCAGAAAACGTCAGCGTTTCCGAAGCCTCGGAAGAGCATTTTCCGTGTTTCCTGAGAGGAATTTTTATCAAAGTTGTGAATTTCTTGCATTTAACAATTCAAGATTTTGTAATGCACTATTGCACTTTACAACTTTTTACCACTTCCCACCAACTCTGTTAAAAAATTGGGTTAAGACCATAGGGTTAAGGTAATTCCGCAGTTTTGCATTGCGCACTTTTACTGCGCACATCTTATAACTTATGATTTCATCCACTATACGTACCGTTTAAAAAAAAAAATTATGACTTAACAAATATAAAACATTTTCCGTGTTGATATACAGTTATATCAACACGAGTGGAAATTGGGAAACCGAGAAATTGTGTGGAAACACGACGCCCAAAGGGCGGAGTGTTTTCACACAATTTCGAGTTTTCCCAATTTCCACGAGTGTTGATATAACTATGTATCAATACGGAAAAAATGTTTTATATTTGTTTTATAATATAGCACAAAGAAACATAAAGAAAGAAATTTTCCGACGTTTCCGTGTTGACATCGAGTTATATCAACACGACTCTTAGCCAATCAGCGTTCACAATTTACAAATGCTATATTATAAAATTTTATGTTATTTCAAAACATCTTTGGTTACATTCGTGCAAAGAATTACGTTAAAATCAATGTTTTCAAAAAAGCCATACAAAAGTGTAGCTAGGGTTCTCTGTGTCTGTAGTAGTTGTTTACTCGTATTTCACGTTTTAATGCCACAATTCCCTAAAAAGATCGGTGACCCCCGTTTTTTAACTGATAATTTATTTCTTTAATGCATTTTACATTTCATATCCGAAATTAAAAGAAAAATCATTTCTGGATCTTGATAAAAATGCTTTATCAATGCATGTTCTCAAAGAAAGATATGTAAAATGTGCAAAAGACATTTGTGGATCAGAATTGTACACGTTAGTAGTTTCATTTTGCTCAAAACACAATATTTTTTCAAAAATAATTACAAGATAGATTTACTAAAGCAAAATCCGCGCTAAAAACGTCAATAAATATCGGGCTGTTGTGATTTTGCTGTTACTCGTAATGAGCGTCAAGATGGCGCCATATTGGTGTAAAGGTGGTATATTGTGATTGTCATATCTTCTTAACGAGTTCGGTGACCCCGACTTTTTTGTGTGATTTTACTTTAAGTATATCATAAACTCCATGCCTGGGAAGTTTCAGCACATTCTCATTTCGGGAACAATTACTGCAGAATTACCAATTCAAGCTGACTTCTGACACACAAAATACATATTATATAAGTTCAAGAACTACTTCAGCCTGACATAAAAATAGTGGTCCTTTCATGCGGGTTTTTACGGCATTTTTCAGTTTTCTAATTAATGAGTCTATAAAGGTTCCCTTTCCAATTTTTCTACATTATTTTTTCACCGAAACATTTTGAAAGATATGCTTTTGCTATTGATTCCAAGCGTGGTGGCTCTAAGCGCTCGAATCCATCAAGTTTTGGTGTTAAATCAGCGACTTCGGGACAGCGTTGTGCAAACCAACAAACACAAATTAAATAATCTTCAAGTTTTTCCTTTTTAAACAACTCTCGGTTTTCCGGGGCATTTGCCAAATGACAAAGGCAGAACAAACCAATTTTTTCCGCAGGAGAAAAATTATACGGACCAATTCCACGGTTGTTGGAAATTTCCGCATCGCAACTTCTTTCACCCGGTTGGGTTCCGATTTCCGAGCGGGGATCTACAGAGACCTGGGAACGAGTCTGAAGTCCCTCATTCTCAGTCCCCAAAGGCCTACTCGGTCCTGCCAAAGCTAGCTGGAGAAAAGGAATTAAGGTTATCCACACATAACCAAGTTTTGCTTCAAAACGGCCAATTTCAGAAGGAGTGACTACATGCAGGAAAGCTTCTAAGACTTGGTTGATTTGCTGCATTTCGTCGTAAGGAAGCAGGTTTTCTTCAGGCAAAGTTTGAATGTTGACCAAGAATAAACAGAAAGAGTATCTAAAAAGGATGGTTTAATTTATCATCAGACACCGGATCCCAATGTGTTGAGGGAACTGTCATTATTTATGGGGTTGGCACCAAAGAGAAATGTTTTTCTTGGTAATAATTTTGCTGATTCATGCATTAAAAAGTCCAAAAAAATTTTTAACCAACCCTGGCCAAAAACTTTACTGTTAATGGATACCGTTCAGTTGTCACACATGTCCTTTACTACTTCTGTGACATGAGTTTGATAACTGCCTTGTGCAATTTTCTGCAGTCTAAAGTTTCATGTTGTCTGCACATATACTTTCTTCGGAAAGAATGCGTTCATAAAACATCCAAACCGGTCCTTATTCTTAGTATACGATTGTCCCAGGGGTCGGTTGTACGAAGGCTGGATAGCGCTATCCACCAGATTTTTCAACCGTTGTGAAAATGCTGAAAAATGACTAAGACTACGAATGTGGATCCTACAGTTATTAAAAGGAAACTTCAATTTTTATATATTAAAGTTTAATATGGGTTATGCCAATCAACAGCCCGTTTAAGACACCTTAAAATATTACTATATAAAAATTGAAAAATCACTATTCGTATTGACAAGTTGCAACAAGCTTGTCGTCATCAACTTTTGTTAACAACTTGTTACGTACAGACAATATCAGACTTGTTTTGTCTTTGTTGAGGAAGAGGAATTGTGGGCTTGAATGGCATTTCCAGCCATTTTGGAGAGTTAGGTTTTGCCCAAAATCCTGAGACAAGCATTTATGTACTCACGCAACAGCAGTTGTGAAAGGCAAAGCAGAAAGATCCTCGCGAGCTAATTCCAACCCTTGGGCCTTTTCAAGAACCAAACGATAACATTGATTTTCAATGATCTTTCTAGCAGCCTTGGGATGATTAGAGCAACAAAATAATGTATTTGCTGCAACCACTTTCTGATAAGTGTCTGAATCATTGGATGTAAGCCAGAGGAGTTTTGATAAAACTTCCTGGTTCTCAGCTAAAATATGTTGGGTGTCTGGCAGCTCGACATATCTAAAATGAACAAGATTTATTTCGGTGATTCTTCTTCCACTTATGTCGTTTATTTCGTTAATTTGGTAAATTGACAGTTCATGTAAGTGTTCCAAAATGACATCACAGCTAGGGCACAGCCGATGCTGTATCCACCTACATTCATATCCAGTGCACTTAGGGACGGACCATTAGAAAAGTGATCGGGGCAAAACCAAACAAAAATTTATTCCCAGAAAAAAATTAGGAAAAAAAATCTTCCCAGGCATAGTGCAAAAAAAAATTCCTTCCTTGGAAGATAGGCCTATAAATTTTAATTAAAAAAATATATTTCCAGTCATCAAGTGAGAAAAAAATTTCTTCTATAGGTGTACAAAAAATATATATATTGCCTCTTAGAAAATCCCCACACCCCCACCCCCATCACTTTTCTAATGGTCCGTCCCTTAGTACAAGAGACATTCACCCCCTCAAAATAATCAAACTGGTGAATGCTCCTTCCTCTACTAAAAACATCTGGTGCTTCTTGCAAAATATTTTGTTAATAAAATTACTTTTACAATAATTCCCAGGATCATACAAGCTTGGATTTTAGAGACAAAAAGTATAGGGTTGCTTTATTTCTAAATATAAGGTTAATATTTTAATAATTAATTAAATAATTAATTAAAATAGAAATTACTATCGCAAGGAAAGTGCTGCCTCGCCTCTGTGTTATTCTGTGTAAAGCGTGGGCAGAATACTCTGCGGGCACAAGCAGGGGAGATGGTGGGTGGAAGCAGTGATCACCACCTGCATACCTTGCCTGCTTCCGCCCACGCTTGAAACACAGAGACGACTGGGGACGAGTCAGCTTCCTCACCCCCAAGGGATCAAAGGCAACATCATTCTCGTACCCAGAGCCCTTCTTACGTGCGGTGCGACGAGGGGCTTTGGCCAAATCCATATCCGAACTGGCATCTGATTGGCTAGTTCTAACACCGGATATTGTTTTCTTACCATGTTTTTATGGTATCCAGTTATGGATTTGGCCAGAGCCCCTCGAATATCAAACACTTAATTTACACAAGGTTGAAGGTCAGCTAAATATTCAATGCTTATAACTTCTTGCTTTTGTATGTATAATTAATGATAATAATTCACAAGAAAAATATAAAAGAAATGAATGTTTAATCAATGTTTGTAAATCGGATAAAGATTTGTCCTGATTTACATAAACTTCAGCTTTGATTTTCTCTCGGCTTAGACAATGTTTATTTTTAAAATTACTTTGCCAATGAACTCATAAGATGGGTAATTTTTTAAGTACGATAAAACATTCGCATCCAATCTGTATCTGATATACAAACTCTCGCCTTTGGCTCGAGTTTGTATATCAGATACAGATCGGCTGCTCATGTTTTATCTAGTACTTATAATGCTGCCAGTGGTGAAACTAGCCATAGCAACAGGTCATGCTACTGTATACAAGTTTTTAATGATTTGCATTATTCAAATAGATGCAGCTTTATTGGCATGGCCAGTTGCCATGGCTACTTTGCTGCTGAATGTTATACAAAATCATATTATATATAAATTATAATAATACTTTAATGAATCATTGGACATACAGAATTTAATAACAATTATCGTTTTAATGGCACCTTCAAGACCACCCCTGTTGCAAAACAACTGAACATGCAAGAACAATCTGCTGATGCCTGATGGGGACACAAAATGAATCTATTTGAATCCCATGGGAGTGATTGCACATCACCTATAGGAATAATTCATATAAAGTCAGGCGAGACTTTTTTTATTCATTGGTTTACGGATCCGCCGACCGTAAATATTCAGAAAGTGAAAAATAAAAAAAAATTTGGATGTCAAAAATTTTACAATTTTAGTTAATTTTAATTAATTTGGGGTTCTGACATGAAGTACACTTCAAGTGAACTTTGACTCTAGGTACTGCTGGCTCATGTTATCGTTGTGACAATCAATATGTAGATTAGCCACGTTTTTTGCGTTTTTTTGAAATTGACGTTAAAAATTTTTATAAAGATTATTAATTTCGGTTCTCATTTATACTCAGTTCGTTTTTTTTTAATTTTTTTCCGACCTACCATCCTCTTATTTTTAAAGTCAAATCCGTAAACCAATAAATAAAAAAAGTCTCACCTCAGATGATTTTTCATTTGTATACAATTGTCTGTTCCAATTAATGCAGGCACAATACTACTCAATTGATATTCTCATAATAACAATATTATTAATAAACTATCACTGTACATAATTATTTAGACCTATTTATAGCTTGAAGTACGATGTTCTATCAAGCCTACAGTCACGCTCAATCAGATCTTTTAAAAACTGACAATCGACAAGCTCCACTTGTTTATATGAAGACTTGTATGCACCTAAAAATTTAATAATTTAAATTATTAAATTTTTAGGTGCAGAACAGACTGGTGCAAACCGGAAATGGACTGATGCAAGAAAAACACATCGTCAAGATTAGGAGGCAGCAATAATTTACTAATTATTCTAAGCATTTCAACTGAGCAAATGAACCTAAATAGACCTAGTACATTCATACATACTGCATTTAAGCCAATTTAAAAACATTGCACACTACTGTAGGTGGGGTTTAAATATTGGGGGGGAATAAAATCTGGACAATTCTTAGCGGGGTGCCTGTTAAGATGTGTCACTTGAGAAGGGAGGCTTATAATAATATTTTAAAAAATATATCTCAGTGTTACCAGCCCCTCCCCCCGACATAAATAATGAATGCTCCCTAAAATGGGTAAAAAATCAAGAAATGGAAATTGGCTTCTTACTGTGATAAACATCCCATAGAAGCTTGGTTAACACGAATGCAAACAGCGATCCCTCCAACATCGTCATCAATATCTGCTTTGACTTTGAGAAGAGAGTGAATGAATGGCTCTAGACCAATAGTTCTTAAAACCATCTGTCGATCTTCTTTAATTTCAGATAAACTCCACAGACACCTAAGACAAGACACTTCCAATTCATTTTGTCCACGATTAAAATACCTCACCATTTGCAAGTCCCTCTCACTAAAATATAACAAAAATGATGAGGGTTTCTTGGTGATTAACCCATTAAGTTGCATTACACAATAATGTGGCCAGTTACTTTGTTTTACTCTGTCTAACACCAGATGATTTTACTCATCAAGGGGAGAGACCGAGTGCTGGCTCTCGATCAATGGCTTAATTATAATCAGACTATCTGCCTGTGTGTCGTGTTAACCCATTAAGTTGCATTGCACCCTACTGTTCCCTGTTTTATTGTTTCACTCTTACTGTACATTGTTTTAAAGCCCATATGACTTATTCCACCCACAACCTAATTGTTGAGAAGTTCGCCAGCCCATTTAGCTGGGATGAATTGTGACAAAAATTTTTCCTGACCATAAATTATCACTTGAATGAACTTTATACTGTTACTGGAAACAAAGTAAGTTAATTCAACTTTGAAATGAATTATCCCGAGTTGACCAGGCCAGCCCAGCTCCATATCCCCTTATATACATACCATATTGTCAATGGACAACGCTTTTTAGAAGCAAAGTTGTAGATAGTAGCCAACAGATCCAATCCACCTTCTTGTACAAAATAATGTTTGTTTGCATTTGTTGGCTTGGATTTCCATGGTGAAAACATTTCCAGACTACAAATCTCTAAACCTTCTGACACAGCTTCATAAAAATTCTCAACTACTTCTAATAAACCATTCCAATCAATATCTGAAAATGCTTCGCAAACTTCTTTTACAAACGCTCTCATATCATCAAGAAATTCCGAAAAGAAATGTAAATTGCACACGCTTATAAATTTAACAATAAACGTGTCTCCTTCTCGCACATACAAATTCGATATTTTCTCTCTGTTTTCTAATTCCTGTCGTGTCTTGTGGTCAACAGACATATCACATGCCGCAACGCTGAGTAAGGGTTGTAGCTTCTTCTTTAAATCGCCAATACATTCGACGTTGTTTAAATTTATTTTTAAATCTGATGTTTGATATGGCACTGGACATTCACTTTCGATATGAATTTTAACCTCCATGTTTGAAACTCTTCGATATAAAAAGTTATATAATATAAAAAGTGACCAGGTTTTTTCAGGGGAAATTATCACATCCGGTTTCATAAATTACTGCATTTGGTCTAAAATTACCACGGTACCATATTTCCCCATTTTTCCATATTTTTTCCAAAAAATGTCCATATTTCCCCCCCAAAATGTCCATATTTTCCCCCAAAAATGTTATGGGGAACCAACATTTTTCCGGAGAACCACAATACCAGTTTTTTTCACCAAAATCTGTAAAATTTAGGGTTTTTTCTGGAAATTTCAAATTACCACAATCGGCAAAAATTGACGAAAAATTACCACGGTAGTTCTGAAATTACCGTAGTAATTACCACAAATTTCCAATTACCACAATCCTCCAAAAATTACGAAAAATTACCACGGTAGTAATGAAATTACCACATCTGGTCACACTGTAAGGGACTTGTCAGAAATTACCAGGGGGGGGAGGGGGTGTAGAAAGGGCGAGGGTCTTATTTTTTTCAGCTCTTCAAAAGGGTGGGTCATAAAAATTTAAGCCATAATTTTCATAAGGGAAGGTCATAAAATTTAAGCCCTCATGGTTCTAGAACAGATCATGAGATCACATTTATTATTGTATAAATAGTACAATATCTAAAACAGTATTTTATAAACATGACTTTATAAGATATAGTCTATAACGAGGAAGATCAAGAAGATGAAGAGAGTAGCCCAGACGAAAGTGATTAAGACATTGTGTTGCATGAAATATTACCTAATGTACAAAATTTTGATTTAGACAAGTCTAGACAAAAATTTAATCATAGCTTGAAAGAGCATCACAAAATTAGTAATATTCCGAAGTTTCGTTGCGAAATGTTGTAAAATGCGGATAATATAGCCCTGCGTAGCCTCCTCCGCAGGCCTCTCTATGGGTTTTAGCCTGCGAATGGGTTTTGAAAAAAAAATTTATAAGCCCTGCGAAGTTTTCCGTTTTTCAGTCATTTTGTATTTATAAATACGCACGGGAAATTGATACCTTTTTTGTGGTTAGCCCGTTTTACCATTACATTACATTACATAACATTTATTGCATTCTCATTTACATAGCCTGCGAACAGACTCTCAAGATCATTTACATACATGGTATTGCATAATGCATACAATACAACAATAAAAATACAACAATAAAAATAAATAAAATAAAAGACCCAATTATTTACATATATAACTATAACAAGACTAACTAAAAGTCGATGTTTTCTTGTTTGAAAGGCTTCATAAATGAAGTGCGCTAATTTTTTACATATAAACGTGTCAATATTATTAAAAAGGAAAAGTATTTTATCTTTTTTATTAAGATTAATATAACAGGGATATAATATCGTTATAAAGTTTTTCTCTTTTCGATTTATTAAATGTGCATTCAGAGAAGAAAAGTGAGTTTCATTTTCTATATCTTTGCCTTTGGATTCACAATTTTGACATATTCTTAAATTTTCGGGGATTTTGGGAAAACAATGTCTGCCAGCTTAGATTATGATTACCAGATCACAATTTCGCTAGGGATTGTCTGTGCCGTGTATTTTTTATTAAATCTAACTGAATTGATTTTCTTTGATCTGTTTTAAACGATGAGTAAAATATACGAGTTTCCTATTAGATCTTATCATGTCTGCTTGATGAATTTGTAATGCAATAGTAATTTTTTGTTTTATTTAATTTAATTGATTTTTTGCTTCTGAATCATGGATTTTGAAGATTGTGTTTAAATTCACTGTTTGAATGCTGTGATCTATATAGAATCACTAAATTGTAGAATTTCAATAATAGTAGAAATAAATTATTGTTTTTTTATTTTCTGCTAATTGTTTTGAGATTTGAAGACATTGTTTAGCAATACTAGATTCTGGAAGATTTTCAAGATGTATCCAAAATTTCAAAATTCCCGTATAAATGTTTGACCTGAGAGAAAGCCTTCCCACTTTATTACGAGATACAACGTTTGGAGCTCTTCTGTTTAATCATATAGGTAATATTTATAAAATTGACAAGGGTGGGTTGACTACAAAATTTTTGTAGTTCGCTATAACCATAGCTATAACTACAGCTACTTCAAAAATATGTAGTCAGCTACAACTACTGCTACTTTTGAACAAAGGTAGTTCGCTACTGACTACAGCTACTGCTTAAAAAATGTAGCGAACTATTTCGCTATTTCGCTACACTATATTTTTTAGTTTTACTATATTTGGAGCATCTACTAACTCAGGCTGTAATGTAATCTATAACAAATCGACTTGCGAGTAGCAACAGCCAACAGTACGTAAACACAAAGCAACATTTTTGTAAGCACTACAGTGTTCAGGAGTGCAAATTGACTATTGAGTATTGATTTTAAGCAAACTGTGTTTCAATATCATGGCTCTCCTCTATCAGGTTGCTAACAATTTTAAAAAGTAGCGAATAGCGATTCGCTGTTTGAAAAGTAGTCAACTACTTGGCTACTTTTAGGCAAAATGTAGTTCGCTATAACTACAGCTACTGTTTTAAAAAAGTAGTCAAAAACTACTGGCTACTTGAAAATTGTAGTTCGCTACAGTAGCGAACTACAACTACTTCGCTACAACCCACCCTTGGAAATTGTGTATGAAGTCTAGTTCTCAATGGGATCTTTTTCCCATTTCTTGAAATCAGGTTTGTCGTATGATCCCCATACCTCTGAGCTGTAGAGTTATATAGGACGAAATAGGATATCAAACAGTTTGTTGCACAGGCGTATAGGGAGTACATTGAAGTCAATACATCTTTTGCATGCAAATATTGATCGTCTATAGTTTTTTAGTATACTAATCGTTGTTTTGCACTGAATTGAAAATGAACCTTTTGAATTAAAAGTTACACCTAAATATGTGTATTCATGTGTATTTTGGATTTCCGTTCTTTTTCCATCATCCATTTAGAAAGAAAAGATATTTCTCTCTTGTTGATTTACGGTTTTGTTTTTGGAATATTAACATTTTTGTTTTTTTAAGTTTGTTGTAAGTAACCATTTTTCACAGTAATTTTGAAGGATGTTAATTTGTTTCTTAAGACCAGACGGCAGACGCACTGGGGTCAGTTTCTTGCGGGGAGTTCGAAGTTAATATTTTTGGGAGTTCATTTAAATATAAATTGAATGATTCCTATCACCTATGATGACAGTCGCAGGCATAGAGTGTAAAGTCGCCCAGAAATAAAAGATGATTATGCACCTATCATTGTTTTCCCCCTGAGGGGGGGGGGTGCGGGCGACCCAGGGGACTTTGACCACACTATGAAGCACCAGAGAGGGGAATTTGACCTATGCATCAACTCCCAGAGTCGGGAAATTTTGACATCCGCCATCTTGAAAATGTGCGCGGTTTTGACATTAAAGGCTTGGTAACAAGTATGGCGGAGAAGCACGATCAAGTTTCATCGAAAAAGGTATTTTATACACAGTGTCTCAATTTTTACCAAGTTTAAACCAGTATAGACTGTATGTTCGCATTGGAAAACATATGTGTGCCTTGTTATCTTAGGAATATAGTGGGGAATTTTGACAGCCGTTCCTTGCCCAACAGTGGGGATTTTGACGACAAAATTTTGAAAATGTCAAAATTCCCCTGGGTTGCCCGCACCCCCCCCTCAGGGGGAAAACATTGATAGGTGCATTACATACAATTAAATTAGGCAAGTAAATATAATTTTAAAATATAAAATTCATTACAAATCTTACTGTGTAGTATATTCTATAATTATATATTTACTATACACTAATACACGTCTGGGCCGCCTGTGTGGGGGGCAGAAGGAAAATATTTCTTTTGATGAAAAAAAATTTCCAAACATACTATCGTTCCTTCTTTCCCGATTTTCCGATTGCACGTATCTATTCTCCTTAGTTTTTTCCTTTCTCAATTTTTAGGTAGAATTTTCGCCTTCCAGAGTCCAGAGCTTACTCAAATATTTTATTTTCGTTCCTTCCTATCCAATTCATGTTTTGCCGACGGGATGACCACCCCCAGAATCTCCTTCTACCCGCCGCCCCTGATAAGAACCACTTCACCTGACATAAAAAATGGCGGTTCTTTGATGCGGGCTTTTACTGCATTTATCAATATCTTAATGAGCCTATAACGGTTTCCATTCTAATTTTCCTACATTATTTTTTCACCGAAACATTTTGAAAGATATGCTTTTGCTATTGATTCTAAGCGTGGTGGCTCTAAGCGCTCGAATCCATCAAGTTTTGGTGTTAAATCAACGACTTCGGGACAGCGTTGTGCAAACCAACAAACACAAATTAAATAATCTTCAAGTTTTTCCTTTTTAAACAGCTCTCTGTTTTCCGGGACATTTGCCAAATGACAAAGGCAGAACAAACCAATTTTTTCCACAGGAGAAAAATTATACGGACTGATTCCACGGTTGTTGGAAATTTCCGCATCGCAACTTTTTTCACCCAGTTCACCCGGTTGGGTTCCGATTTCCGAGCGTGGATCCACAGAGACCTGAGGACGAGTTTGAAGTCGCTCATTCTCAGTCCCCACAGGTCCATTCGGTCCTGCCAAAGCTAGCCGGAGAAATGGAATTAAGCTTATCCACACAGCCTCATTTTCTACTTCAAAACGGCCAATTTCGGAAGGAGTGACTACGTGCAGGAAAGCCTCCAAGACTTGGTTGATTTGTTGTATTTCGTCGTAAGGAAGCAGGTTTTCTTCGGGCAAAGTTTGAATGTTGGCCAAGAATAGACTGAGAAAGTATCTAAAATGGATGGTTTAATTTATTGTGAAGAGAAATTCTGGGGAAAGCAGCCTGTTGATTGAGAATGTTTGCAGGCCCGAAACGGATACTGTATACACGGCCCCTTGCCCCGCAGAAATAGGCCACAAATCATGTGTCCTATTATTAGTATTAGTGACTCAGTTAGGAATCCATAGTCCATAGGAGGCCCAATAGACAGTTGTAATGGGCACAAAAGATACTAAAATGCTTTATTAAAAGTCACTAAAAATTCATTGTGTTACCGTGAAAATATTCGAGCAACTGTTTTTGTAGCCATAGCTGAATATAGGTGTTTATTTAAACCATGCGAGGCTCAATCTTGCGTAAGAAACCATAAATTGCATCTATCATCCTCCCACAAAATTTCTCAGCAAAGTAGCAAACATTTTGCAAATAATTTTCAATTAACAATATTTTAACACAGTACAATTTCACCTAATAAAATAATTATGTACACAATATATATATAAAAAGAAAAAAGGTGATCTTCCAACCGGTCGTGCTCACACAAGTAGAAATAAGAAATATATTATTTACAAGATTATTATTTTAAATAGATAGAAACAAAGGCAGGATTACTTGATCTTAATTTGCATGGTTCAAGTTAAACTTGAAATTAGCACTAGTTGTGATGCTTTTAGCGATGCAGAAAGGCAGTTATATAATAACTACAGTGAAACACGCAATTTGATTGGTCAATAGCCGTGCAGGTCTGCAGGATCAGGCTATCCTGCACGAGGAATTAAAATGCCTTCGCGGGATTTTCGCGGGATTCTCAAAATGTCATTGTTTCACTGTAGTTATTTTATAAAACAATTACCAAATGGTTTTCCAAGCAGGATAGCGTGATCCATGCACTTGGGATGTTGCTCGATTTTCGGAAAGCGTAAAAATACACTCGCCTGCGGCTCGAGTATTTTTACGCTTTCCGAAAGTCTCGCGACATCCCTCGTGCATGGATCACACAATCCTGCACGGAAAACCATTCGGTATTCCTTTATTCCAGCCTTCCGCACCTCTATAGGATACTGAATGCATTTTTCATACCATTTGTTTTTGGTTTAGGCAATGTCAAATCGGCTCACGACTGTCTTGTGTTATGGTCGTGTACATCACCCACATTTGTGAACATATCGCACAAGTAATCGGGGACCAATCTGTTTTTCACCTTGTACATGGAAATTGAAAGTTGTTGCATTCTTTTTTTTTCGAGGTTCGGAAACTCCTACAATCTTGGCAAAAAGTTAATGAAACACCTATAAAAAATCAATAAAACAAACAAAATCCCCTCCCCCCTGCACAATGTTGGACATATATTCTAAAAAATGGTGTACAATAGTCCATCGATGGCAGAGAGCACTATGTGTAGGTTTCTTGCTCATCTTAATCAACATTGGAAGGGGGGAAGGGGGGAAGAATACATTAAATTGTTAATTAAACTGGATGTTTCATTAGTTTTTGCCAGGATTGTAGCTTGTTTAATATATCAGCCGATCGTGTCGTGTAATTCTCACGTGTGATTATTCTAAACGCTCTGTTTTGTAATTTTTGTACTTTAGCTGCTAATGTTTTCCCTAAGCAACACCAGACATGCATGAGCACAATAATTCATGTTGTTTTCACATAAAATTTCGATTGTGAAGTGAGCATGTATGTGGATATCGGCAAAAGAGTTTCCTTCCTTCCTAATAGGCAATAACATTTATACGATACTACGCCACTGCAAGTCTGCATTCAAGATTGAGCCTCGCATGGTTTAAATAAACACCTATGACTACAAAAACAGTTGCTAGACGAGTTGCAAATCGAGATTCCTGTTGGCTTTATATAGCTTGGGCAAAGGGACTGGCACTAATGCATAGGCATATATATGCCATAGTAAACATAAGCGTCAAAAATAGTGTGCTACCTCCCTACGCTCGGCAGCAAATATTTTCACGCTAACACAATGAATTTTTTGGTGAATTTTAAAGAATTTTAGTATTATTTGTGCCCATTACAACTATGTATTGGACCTCCTATGACAATACTTCTTGTCTTCACTTTCCTCACAGGCTGAATGACTGAAGTTCTAACTCCAGCTTTAAATAGAACTCACTGGAATAGACCCTTCCAGAAAGTACCTAGCCTTGACTATAGAACCTCGTTTTTGGAATTGAGTAATCGGCTTTAGAACGCTTTGTCTTGCTACAGATGATCTAATTATATAAAGGTCTTATATAGATCTATAGATAGATAGAAACTTTAGTTATACACTAATACCTCAATAATGAAAGTGCGGCTCTATGGCTAAGGCTGTGTGCCTTCCGGAAGGGTGTATTATCATGCTATACTCACGCAACACCAGGTGTGACAAATGTAATCCATTGGGCCTTTTTAAGGACAAAATGATGACATTGATTTTCAATGATCTTTCCAGCAACCTTGGGCTGATTAGAGCAACAAAATAATGTATTTGCTGCAACCTCTTTGTGAAAGTTGTCTGAAGCATTGAATGTAAGCCAAACAACTTTTGAAAAGGCTTCCTCGTTTTCAGCTAAAATCTGTGGGATGTCTGGCATTTCGACATATCTAAAAATGAAATATGATGTATCAGTGATTCTGCCAATTTGATCCATTGGGCACCAGCGCTCTCCCCTTGATGAGTAAAATCGTCCGGTGTTAAACAGAGTAAAATAATAAAATTTGGCACATTAGGGCAACTGAACGGGTTCAATTAATGTTAATTTAGTCATTTGATAGCAACTTGATCACTGTCTATTAAAGAGAGCCAGGTTCTGTACTTATTTGGATAGGTCAGTGATGGCAAAACCTTTTGAACCTGGATTAACTCAGGGGGAAGGGGCACAACAAGGGATGGATCCAGCATGATCTGGTCAGCTCTGGTGCTGAGTTGTGTCGGTCATGTGCACCGCCCGCCCATCAACTTGCTTGACTACTGCAAAGTCTTGCTTGACTATTGTATTTGAATTGTAATTGTTGTTCACAGTTCGCTTATCATCATGTTATTACTCAAATTACTGTATCTCATTTAATCTCTAATATTTTTTTGCTTTATCATGAAAAATAGCACCCATCTGCACCCCCTCTGGCCAGGGTTAGGGGGGTGCGCAACCCCGTTAAATCCATCCCTGGGCACAACTTGACTCTACTATGTATTAGGCAGGTATGAGTTCTTCTTGCCCAACAAAAGGGCTAGGCACTAATCAATCTGCTATGAAACTTAATTGTGAACTTTCCTATCTTTACCTCAGATGACTTCAACTGCTTTGCCCGACATACAGCCCAACACTAGGCAAAATTTCCCCAAGTATCATAACATTTTTAAACTTTGGGGGTGTCAAACCCCTCCCCAACAGTTGCACCCCTGTCAAGCATGGGCAGATTTTGAGGGGAGGTGTGCACCCCCCTGAGAATTTTTGCACCTCCCCTGAAAAGTCATGCACCTCCCCTTGGGAAAGTTTTGATGATAGATCAAAGTGAAAATTTGACATTTTTTGGTTGCTTAGGGTCTACACTTCGTAAGAAAGTTTTTCTGTAAAATTGAAACAGTGAAACATTCATCTCTGTGTCAAGTACCCTTTTAATGCAATGTTTCGAAAGAAACTTTGTAGTAATTGTAATGAAGGGTAAAATTGGATGAGTTGTACAGTCATAATTCATTAATATATACTGATACATATGTACACTACATGCATACGTCATGTCGTCGACTTTGCCCTTTCTATAAGCCCTAACTTTCCATGGGCAGAGGCCGCGGAACCGGGGGGGCATTGGGGGCAAATGCCCCCCCACTTTTTGTAACTGGGAAAAATGTGCCCCTTTTCTAGAATGAATGTGCCCTTTTTCCGTGTAATAGAAGTACCCTTATAAGCCTTGTTTCACATACAGGCTGCTGTAAATGTTGTTAAAACAACTTAGTAGCATTAGGTATTTGGCACGCCAGGCCCAGAGCTTGCAAGGGAAAACTGAAATTGAGAGTAACTTACACCAGCTGCTAAAATTAAGAGCAGAGGATGTTCCTGAACTATTGGAGTGGATTGACAACGGAAGATATCTCAGTCATGACATTATAAACGAGTTGATTAACATGATGGGCAATGCAGTCCTGAGGTCTATAGTCACAGACCTACGTAAAGAATCACAGTTATTTAGCCTTATTGCAGACGAGTCTAGAGACATAAGCAACAAGGAACAATTAACATGTGTTTTGCGTTAGATATCTACAACCAACTTATCCGTCCACGAAGATTTCCTCGGTATGTACAAGCTAAAGAAAACCGATGCTGAAACAATCACCACTTCGCTGAAGGATATTTTGTTGCGATGTAATTTGACGATAGACGACTGTCGGTGGCAAACATATGATGGCGCAGCAAATATGGCTGGAAGCAGAAGTGGAGTTGCAGCCCGAATATCTTTAGAGAATCCCCGCGCCCTGTACATTCACTGCGGGAACCACAGTCTTGATTTGGCTTTGCATGATTGTGTGAAGGAAAGCGGAATTATCAGTGATACGTTGAAGTTTGTGCAAGACTTGGCCGTCTTTATTCGATCTTCACCAACACGAATGGCGCAATACCAGCATATCGCCGAAGAGATTAACGACAACGGCATGCAAGTTGAGAATCCGCATTTGTTGTGTCCAACTCGGTGGACGGTAAGAACCAAAGCAATATCGGCTGTCTTGCACAATTACGAGGCCTTGTACTCCACATTACTCAGCATTGCCAAATAATCTTCCAAGTCTACCGTACGTGACACCGCATCAGGTATGGCTAGCCAACTGAAGAAGTTTTCCACGTACTTTGGTTTAAGTTTTGCGCAGAATATCTTTAGCGTTTGTGAACAAGTTGCATCTACGTTACAGAAGCCTTCAATAACGGCACAAACAACTGTTACTTGTGTCACTTCCTTGAAGACAAACTTGCAACGCCAACGAGACGACTTCCATTTGTTTTACGACCAGGTAGTCACTTCGAGCAAGGCCATCAACTTTGTAGACAATCCTAAACTGTCAAGAGCGAAGCAACTTCCGCGGCGATTTCAGCACGAAGATGGTGAGCAACATCATTTCCAATCCGCGAAAGAATTCCACCGTGCCCAATGTGTTGAGGCACTTGACGCATGCATGGCTGCACTACAGGAACGTTTCGATCAAGAAATATATTCTGTATTGATGAACATCGAAACCGTGCTCATTAATGCGGCAAATGGGCATACGTTTGAGTTAAATGATGCAGTTAAACGCCTTTACGAAGAAGACCTCGATTTTGATCAGCTAAAGGCAGAGTTAAAGCTTCTTGAAGGAATTATCTCTCAGCGTCTTCCGGAAGTTAAGAAGGTGACATCAATTGACACCATTACATCAATATTCTCAACCGAAGAAACTGACTCATCGCAGATCGTCATGGCAATGTTTAACGTTGTCCGACTTTTGCAGATTTACCTTCTTGCTCCAATGAGCGCAGCCTCTGGAGAACGGTCTTTTTCAAGCCAGCGTCTTGTCAAAACGTATCTAAGGAGCACGATGACGGCAGCACGCTACAACAATCTTATTGTTATGCATGTAAACAAGGCCAGAACTGATGAACTGGACTTAAGTTTGATTGCTAAAGACTTTGTTTTGAAAAACGAACGTAGAGTTAGATTTTTTGGCAAATTTTAATAAAATCGCATTACGTAATAAAATTGTTCATTTAATCATCTTCAGTTAGTTAAAACTTAGGACGCATGCAGTGCAATAGAGAATACGCATAGCATCCGAAGAATGTCCACCAATACTTTGCTGATTTTGTGACTTGATCATGATTCATGAAACAATATATATCTTTATTATGCTAAGATAGTAAGGTGCAAAACTCAAGTGCCCTTTTTGGTCAGTGCCCCCCCACTTTCGAGGTGCTTCCGCGGCCTCTGTCCATGGGGGTCGTAGCTAGACCGCTGCACCTTCCCTAATTTTTTTTCCACCTCCCTCACTCCACCACTTCCATCTCCCCCACTCCAAAATCCGGCCTTGCTGTCAAGGGGATACTTGAATCCCAGTATTCTAGCAGGATGCTGAACAAGTTTTAAATTTCATACCCTCCTAAACATCCCAAAGAAGCTTCATTAGCATGAATGACATCATGTATTCGATTGTCGTCAACAACATCAGGTACATCTAATTTGAGAAGTGAGTGAATGAATGGCTCTAGACCAATCTTTCTCAGAACCAAAGAACGATCTTCTTTAGTCTCAGAAAAATTCCACAGACAAGAAAGACAAGATATTTCCAGTTCAGCTTGCTTATCATTAAAGAGTCTTGCAATAGTCGAGCCCACATTATCACTAAAGTAACAAAAAGATAGGGTTTTAATTTTCTTGGTGGATATTCAAATACTTTATTCAGTATGAAAAACACTACTATATAGGCTCTCTAGCAGGAATCAAATTTGCAATTCCAGTCCAGTACTCTGACCACTGAGCAAGAGTGCCCGGTTGCCAAGAGCCATTATAAACACAAATTCATCTATGAGGAGTAAATTATTCTATCATATTTCCTCTAGTTAGCCCCTCCCCTCCTTCTTCTACTAATAAGCTCCCAATCCACAAGTGCTGAAGGAGAATAAGCCCTCACCCTCTATTAATTAGATCAATCTGAATACAGACTTATATGACAAAATACGAAGTATCACAGTCGTGCCAGTGGAAGAGTTTCTAAAATATTCTACCAATTCATTTCCTTATACGAACCAATTGATTTGCTGAGTTACTTGAAAATTTGATAACTGCCTGTCTGCCTGTACTGTATAATTACGTATGATCATCCCCCAGTTTGCCGCCATATTAGATGGAATGTTGGCAGATGTTCCTTAAAAAAGATTCTTTGGGTGTCAGAATCCTCTCTAAAGGAGAGCAATATGGTACAAATTGTCTCAATTTACTGATTAACAGCCATGCCATGACTTTTGCTAACCCACTCGGCAACAATGCCCCATAAAATGCACCCTAATTTAGTGAAGCAGGTTCGGGATAAAAACCAAAAACCATTGGGAAAAAAACGATTTTTTATAACATACGTATTTGCAAATTTAGTAATTTACTATTAATTAACAGTTAAAACACAAACACTACATGCGTGTCCAAGGATTTAGTTTCAAAAACAGTTGTATTAATAGATTATATTTTAAGACATAGTATACATACATACATCATAATATTTACAAGATCAAAATTTACAAATAGTGTATTTACATGAGCATCGATCCAAATATCAAATAATGTTATTTATAAATGAATGCCGATTTTTACGGTATTTTTGGTTTTTCGCCAAAAGCAACATCGGCTGAATCGGTTTTCAAAAAAACATTGTTTTTTTCGGTTTACCATGCAATTATAAACCGCATCACCCTAACCCTAATATATTCTACTCTGTCAAAAGTCAGACAACTTCATTCATCATGTTGTGTATTAAAAATGCTTATCCACCCACAACCTAATTGTTGGGGGCTGTTCATATGCTGCCAGGCCAGCCCGACTAGCTGGGATGAATCGTGTGACGAAAATGTTTTCCTGACCAATGACCATAAATTATCGCTTGAATGAACTTTATACTGTTACTGGAATCACACTAAGTTAATTCAACTTTGAAATGTCATTTAGGATGTTTATCAAACCCGTGATAAGAACCGAGGGGCAAATTACTCTGAAAATCTTCGTACACTTCATCAAAAATCAAAAAATTTTTTTGGAAAAATCCAAAAAATCTTACTAAATCCCAGAATCCAAAAATCCCAAGAAATCTCTAAAAATTACATAAAATACGTGGAAAAAGCCCAATAAAATCCCCCAAATTATTGCAATATTGAGAAATCCCATCAAATTTAAACATTTAAATCATGAATTCGGCGTGAAAATACCCTTCGTTGATTTACTTCATTTTAAAAATAATTCGACGGATTATATGTCGCAAAAAATGTCGGAAAAAGTTCGGCGAAAAAAATAAGGGAAAAATGTCGAAAAAATCAGCTGAAAAAAATCCCAAAATCCCTTAAATTTGGGGAAAAAATCCCAAAATCCCAAGAAAAATTGCCGGGATTTTCTAATTCCAAAAATCTTCGTACGCTTTTTTCAGAGTAATTTACCCCTCGACATTTTCTAAGAAACAAAACACAAAATTTGTGCATCAGTGCATAATTCTTCGTTGGCATAATTTATAAATATTTATATTGATGCATGTGTAAATATTTAAATTGATGTATAAATCATAAAGAGTTTTCGCCCAGTTTGAAAAGCACGAACTCACGAGTTTTATTTGCTTTGGGTGTTTTATAAATGTTGCAATGTTTTATAAAGTTTTGGTTTCTTAGTGTGATATGTGTATATAGTCTATATACAAAAAAGAGTCTATTGTACTCATATGAAGGGGAGACGATTACGGATTTAGTCGGCACTTCTGAAGTGCGTTCTGGACTCAAACTGAGAGCAAAATGCAGGATAACACCTGTGCTACCATGCATGTATATGCTTCAGGTAAATAACGCATTTCTTACAACATTTTATTGAAATACCTAGTATTTAAGACTTGCGCAAGTTTGTTTATTCGCGCACGAAAGCGTGTTTAATGTAAAACAGATGAATCAAAGGCTTTTACTTTTAATTGGCGTGCCTAAGAGGCTAAGACGATATAAGACTCGCACTTGGGTTTAGATCCAAGTCCTGTTTCAAAGCCTGTTTTAGACGTCGAAGTTCCGTTGAATTTAATTCGTTAAATTTAATGCTGCTTAATTTTTTATTCGACAGAAATGTACATTTTAAATGGTTTTATTAGACTCAGCACATAAAGTACGACTTCGACCGTTCGACGGGTTTCATCGCATAATTGATAGCCCGCGCGCAGTCCCAAAGGATGTTTGACGATGTCAGGAGACTGCACAGGCTACACAATTGACAGAAATTGACTTCGAAATTGAGTCAGTAAAATTCAGAAGCATTTGAACCTGAACTAACTAATTCGACGCAAATTCGACGTCTATTACAGGTCTAAGGTTTCTTTAAGTTTCAATGAGTTTCATAAATATAAATAAGGAAATATTTTATTCCCAGATCACGTTCACTTAGTTATTTTCCTCATTCTTGTGCCATGATTTTATCATTAGTGACGTAGGATGTTTCGTATTTTCGTTTCAAAAACATAACGTCATGGGATTCCCTGAGTTTATATAATTTAATCTGTTTTCTTAATCTGTCATCAAATTTTATTTTCGAAATTAATGGTGGCGTATTTTTATTTTTTTTATTGCATATTGTAGATTTTTGAAGCCAAAATTTTCGAAAAAATCAGCTGAAAAAAATCCCAAAATCCCTTAAATTTGGGGAAAAAGTCCCAAAATCCCAAGAAAAATTGCCGGGATTTTCTAATTCCAAAAATCTTCGTACGCTTTTTTCAGAGTAATTTACCCCTCGATAAGAACCCTACTAACATGGACCTAACCAGGATAGCAATCTACCCGTCCAAAAGTGCTAGGCCAGTTCTGCCCCCCTCCCCCAAAACATCATGTTTCCCTTAGAATAAATTGAAATCAGACCTTTATCCTCTAAAAACATGATTCTTGGCAGTCAAAAGAACTCATGTAAAATTGCAAAGCTGAAGACCAAACAGCATAGTTGCATGACACTGACCTCACTAAGATAATTGCCGACGTTTTTGTTAAAATCGGCTTAAAATGGATGTATGTGTAGGGACATAGTGTAGGGATGTACAGTGACTGTTGAATGTGATGTTATAGCAAAATTTCAGCTTGTGCGGTCGTACTAATTACTAAAGACAAAATACTGGAATTTTAACTGTTTTTTGCCCGTCCACATTTAGAAATACACATCCAAATGATGAGTGGACGGGCTTGAGGCTAGCCCATGCCTACTAAACAAAATATCCCGAGTTGACCTAAAACCTACGATCAGGCATATAAATAAATAAATAGGCCTGATACAAACCTTAAAGGTAGGTTACAGTCCCTTCTGCGCATGCGCGGCCTTTGTTTACGTTTTTTGTTTTGATCCACATTAATTATATAAGATGAAGTATATGACGAGTTCAAAGTAACATTCCACATAATTTGTGACCGAGGACAATCTCGTTCCCCGAGCCTGCGATCCTCGGGAAGGAACGCGTTCCTTCCCGAGGATCGCAGGCTCGGGGAACGAGATTGGACCGAGGAGTGCAATGTTTGACAATACTTCGCTTCATTTCTTGTACATTTCTGCACTGGAAATTTTTGTACACAATAACACAATCTTATACTGTAACTGTTTAACTGTCAAACATCGTGAATAAAGTTATAAGGAGGCCGCTTTGAACCTTGTGTGACTTGCTATATCAACAGCTGGGGCGGCGAACCGAAATTCCGAAGGTGTGAGTTCGAATAATTTGTGTTTACCTTTGGAGTTTGTGTCTCATCATGAAAATAGTTAATGGGGAATAATGCGGTATCAATCCCTCGAAACATGTTGCCAGTGTTGTTGTTGTCATTATGAGAGAAGCGCTTGGGGAAAGCTTTTCGCTTGACAAAATTCGAAACAAGTGCAGGGCCGTAGCAACCGGGGGGGCTGGGGGGGGGCTGCAGCCCCCCCCCCAATAATTTGCTAATAATCATTCTTTTTTCAAAATCATGCAAACTTTATCATTTAATCTGTGACAAACTGCAAAGAATGAAGATATTACTCATACTCCAGGTCGTTCCTCGCGTAGAAATTTTAGCTGAATTTCTGTCGCGTATTTTCAAGAAAATCCCACAAAATCTGCACATTTTTGATGAACTAATGATTTATTTTGTCTTTTGCGTGTTGGGTCTTGCGAAAGAAAACTCTAAAAATGCCATTTCAGACCATCTAGAGACTCCAGATTTTCGAAATTTTCTCAAATGTTCTGCCTTCATTTCCGCGCAACTGCCATTTACGACGAAAATTCCCGCCGCGCATTTATAATACTACAGTCTGGCCCATACTTTCCTGTAAATTTCGACATACTAAAACGCTGTTTTCTGACTATCAGAATTCTGTTAAATCTTCCCCCAAAGTCCAGGAAATGGCATTTTAGAGACTCTAAATTTAAAAATTTCCTCGGGCCTTCGGCCCTCGCTTTCAGCCCCCCCAATCGAAAAGAGCTTCCTACGGCCCTGAAGTGTGATTGAGAATGTGGCTGCCGTTCCTGTCTTCGTGGCAAAGCCAAGGGCGAAATTTTTGACCGCGCAAAAGCTGGATAAACAGCTTTTGTTCAAGCTCTTTCGCGCTATGGAGATGATTTCGTTGTAAACAACAGAAGAGTGAAAGATTGACAGTGACGAGAGTACGAGACGCTAAGATTATACTCAACTTTTTTGTGTTATAAAAAGGTATGTTTTGAAATTATGAACTGGAAGTATGAATTCATTGATATTACTCTCATATTGACACTAAATGATGATATTCTTGTGACACTGAATGATCTAATAGTAATATTAACTTCAACAATTCTCAGTGGTCAATCTAGTGATCACGTTAGTTCATCATCATGTCTCTTCACAGGACAATTGCTAAATATAATTATGCTTGTTTCGCTCTATATCAGAGCTCATCAGAATGCTCAGGAAACACTGATGAAATTTTTATTTACATCAACAAATCTTTCTTTTTCTTAACAGATTTATATATGATTTATGATATATAAATGATTTACAGATTTATAACAGATTTATTATATGATAATACATATAATTTATAAACAATTATTATTAACACACATATATCCAAGGGGATAGACATGCATATGACTCAAGGGCTTATTCCTCCCCCCTGAAAATATTGAATATACTAAATATAATTACAGTTTGTGACATGAACAGTCAGGTAAGCACCATTCACAATAAGAACCTGTTTAGGCTAACTTGGAAAAAATCTAGGTTCTTATTATATGCAGGGTTTTACTGTGTTGTCTGATTTTCATGTCACAAAACAGGCCATAGCAGCTTGTTCTGACAATATATATATATATGCATGGGATGGTGCCACTCTTTGTGACACAATATCAGGCAATCATAGTACAATATGAACTGGGTTGTGTTTCAGATTGCTTTGTGTAGGAGGCAATCCATCTAGGAGAAAGAAAGCTCGGATCCCAAACCCCCAGATCCCACCTTTGGACAATACATGTAGTGACTACATGATCATTAGAGCTTGGAAATTAGGTTAAATTCTTAAAGAAAAACGACTCATTTTTGGTATGTGCATGCATGAGGTATAATTTACATGTATATACATGTATATAAATTGTGCACAAATTATCTAACTAATAGCTATGTGTAAAGCTATACTGTAAAGCTGCCAACATGCACTTTATGTAAAGGTGCTAACATTCACTCTATGACATTTTCAGTGTTCTGGATCATTTTCATTACTTTGTGAAGACTTTATTTTCTTTGATTTATATACATGTTTAGATTTGATTTGTCTTCATGTGATAAAATAAGAACCTGAAATGTTAGCCTAAACAAATTCTTATGTAGGATGTCTAAATAAAAAAATTTAGCCTGACAGGTTCTTAAATTGTAGGTTCTTAGGCTACTATGCAAGCTTTTGGTCACAATTAGGGTGAAAAAATATACTAGTAATTATTAGTTGAGTTTGTTTACATCAGCTGTGATCAAAATGTTTTATAAACTAAATGTCTTAGGCGGTGTTTATATGGAGGCGAGTCAGCCCTGTTACCTGAGCTAATTTAATTTAATTTTTAAACGTCAATTTCTAAACCTTATACCAAAGTGTGTTTATAGTTAATCGAACTACGAATCAAATTTTATAATCGCTGACTGTTTAATTAACAGCTATCAGCACCAAAAAATTCTTACTTTTGCTGAATTGACGTCGGCAAAAATTTGCCGACCTGGGAGGTTGATAGGTCGGCATTTAGGTCGGCATTGCCTAATGCTGACCTCGTTTTTGAGGGCTGTGCTTTGATTAAAATATACTTTGATCAGAGAAACTTTTTATGTGTTTCTATTAAGTGAGCACAAGTTGTCCATGAAAAGACAGTCAAAGACAGTAAAGCACGGTCAAGTAGATTAATTTATATCATTTATCACTCTGACAATAATATATAAACAGTCATCCAAAACATGTTGACTCCAAATTGCTCATTAACACTTTTTCATTGACAACTCCTACTCACGAGTATCATATTTTTAGGCCTTAATTATATGGGTTTCAGTTTGTAAATAAAAGAGATAGAACAGTTCGTATGTAACGATAGTATATAATTAAAATTTAAAATAGTAAATAAACGGAGAATTTTATAGTCATTAAAACCTCGATTGATGGGCTTCAACAAGCGATTTCACTGAAGGATCCACAGTGAATAGCAGCTATGTTGGGTGAAATGTCCTATCCTTGGATTCTTTTCTTGAAAACCTTTAGTAGAAGCTTGAGGATGTAGGTATATCATGGGGAAACGCAGACAGAAATGGCAAGCTCTTCATCGAGGAAAACAATAAAATAGATACACTTTAGAAGCATCCCTGCTAGCGTGGTATTCTTTCCTACTCGTCATGTTGCCTCAAAAACTCGTTATTTGACGGATTGTCGCTCAAAAAAGCTCAATATATTTTGGAAACTTCTAGCTTCACTCCTTCGCTTGCGAAAAAACAACGCGCGTGTTATTCCCAGAAATGAGACTGGACCGAGTACACGAGTTGCCCAACTTCCGGTGGAGTCCCCAGACAAAAACAATCACAGACATGCGCAGAAGGGACTGTAACCTACCTTTAATAAAAGTCCATGCCTTACAAACATATTTTGGTTTTAAATCTAATTGGTCTATGAGACAAAAGATTTTTTAATCTGTCATTTGATTGGTTGGTGCTAATTACATTAAACTATCGTTGTTGATATATTTTATAGTGATGACAAAGTTAATTATAGATTGTTGTTGTCGATGTGTGAAATTTAAATTTCGCCTGCGACATTTTGACTGGATACTAAATATAAACTTTGCTGTGGGTGGAAAGCGATCAGATGTCAGGCTTATATTTGTAAAATAGAGCCTGATCTCAGGTTAGAGTATGACTGCGGGCAAGCCCGGCTATCAATTGAGTTGTGTGACATCACTCAAAGGCACAGTTCAGCCTGTTGAGCGATGGTTTTTAAGGCACATTTCAGCCCTGTTAATTGAAAAAACTAACTAGGAAAATCAATTAAGCATAATTCAAAATCAGTAAACTCGATGTTTTTAACAATATGAATGTTTTAAAATGTTAAAAACATTGAGATTGGTGATTTTGAATTATGCTTAATTGATTTTCCTAGTTAGTTTTTTCAATTAACAGGGCTGAAATGCGCCTTAAAAACCATCGTTCAACAGGCTGAACTGTGCCTTTAATTGTGAGGTTCTTACACCGAGGTAAAGCCCGACTTCTTATCAGCAAGCCCATATCCCCTTACATAATACGTACCATACTGTCAATGGATAACGCGTTTTAGAAGCAAAGTTATAGATCGTACCCAACAGATACAATCCACCTTCTTGTACAAAATAATGTTTGTTTGCATTTGTTGGCTTGGATTTCCATGGCGAAAACATTTCCTGGTTACATATGTCCAAATCTGCTAATACAACTGCATAACAATTGTCAAATACTGCAAAACTATCAGAATTCCAATCAATATTTTCCACTATTCGATCCCAGTCTGAAAATGCTTCGCAAACATCTTTTACAAACGCTCTCATATCATCAAGAAATTTCGATAAGAAATGTAAATTGCACACGCTTATAAATTTAACAATAAACGTGTCTCCTTCTCGCACATACAAATTCGATATTTTCTCTCTGTTTTCCAATTCCTGTCGTGTCTTGTGGTAAACAGACATATCACATGCCGCAACGCTGAATAAGGGTTGTAGCTTCTTCTTTAAATCGCCAATACATTCGATGTTGTTTAAATTTATTTTTAAATCTGATGTTTGATATGGCACTGGAAATTCACTTTCGATAAGAATTTTAACCTCCATGTTTGAAACTTTTCGATATAAAAACGAAATAAGGACGTAGGAAACGGAAGGGTAATTGCTAGATAGTATACTTCAAAATAAGGTTTCC